GAGGGGAAATGCCCCCAACTGCCCTCCCTTGCAGGCCTGATTGCCCCTTACTGCCCTCCCCTTCAGGCCTGGTCCCCCCCAACTGCCCTCCCCTGCAGGCCTGGTCCCCCCCAACTGCCCTCTTTTGCTGGCCTGATCGCTCACACTGCCCTCCCCTGCCAGCCATCTTTGACCACATGGGGATGGCCATCTTGTGTGTTGGAGTGATGGTCAATTTGCATATCATCTCTTTATTAGGTAGGATAACTTTGAACTAGAAGAAACTTCATACTTTATTTTGATTTTTAAAAATCCTTAAGGGTACACCACAACTAATATCCAGTGATCAAAATCCTCCATTTGCAGCATTTTAGATTATTTTCTATGGTGCAGTGTGAAACTGTATTAGACTTTGTAATGTAATTTGGTCTCAACATTGAAAGACGTATAAAATAAGTGACACATTAACATTGAAATGAGTTTCAAAGGTCAACTCTTCTACTGTTGAAAAACAGAAAAAAATGTTTTTGACTGTGTATACACATTGGAGATATACATTCCAAATAAAAATGAGTGGTATAACAAAAATCATCTGAAAATATTTTTGTCATTATCATCATTTTCTATTCCTTTATGTTCTAGTAACTCCTGATAAAAAGTCAAAATAAAAGCTAGTTTATGTTTTGTTTATTCTTAACCCACTGGATTGTCTTTCATTTAAATGGTCTTACTAGATCCTTACTGAAAATTTACATTATCATAAGTAGCTAAATTTCCACATAGAGGAATCAAAATGTTTAAGAATCAAGTTGAAATTTTTATAGTATTTTACAGTGTGCTATAGTCATGATAAACCCGTTTTATACTTAATCCTATCATCAAAGCAATACCAGGCTTCTAATTTTTCTTCATTTTATATGGCTACTATATATGTAAGAGAATAAGGTATTACACTACTAGAGCTTATTCAAGTTAAAGACATGTTATCTAGAAAATAATTTAACACTGTAGTGAGATCTCCAAGATCAGTTCTGTTCCATATTCTCTGCAGCAAAAATACCATTTCTAGTAGGAAGGTATTAATTATAAACCTAGCAAATTCTAGACATTCACATATTGTGTAAACAATATTAACATGGTTTATTACATTTACAGAAAGGTTAAGTCTTCTATCCAAGTTTTCTAATTCTTTTATATAATAAATATATTATTTGAGTGATGTGTGCATATATTTCACACATATATATGTCATATATACATAAAACAGCACTTAACGGTTGCTTTCTTTGCATGTTTACATTGGGGGGGGCAATGAATTGCTATAATGCATAACCCATGGCAATTTTCCCTTCTGTTTCACAAATGGCCATATCTGGATGTAAACAAAACATTGGAGCGAGTCATTCCAGGTGAACTGTATTTCAAGTTGTAGACTGGTGATCTCATGAAGAATTGTGTACATCCTGGTAGTAAATACCTAAAAATAATAGTTAAAAATTAGACTTTTACAAGCAAATTAGTATTAACATCTCTCACTGATGTGTTAGGTGGCTCGTAATTTATATAGCCTACATGAGAAATTATACTATAAAAACTATGCATTCCACATAAAAAGATTTATTCTTCCATATTGAAGAGGGAACATGGGGAGAGGGTCATAAAGCTTCCTCCAAAAGGCTGAATATAGCAGCAACATATGATCTTAGCATCCCAAGACATCCCATAAAGAGCCACGCACTCACATGTGAGAAAACTATGTATGTGGCTCATGTTAATTTGAAATTCATTCTTAATCTTTGTAAATAATGTGTGGAGCCAGTCAACTATTTCTTAAAAACATGTGATATGAACCATATCCGGTTTGGCTCAATGGATAGAGCATTGGCCTGTGGACTGAAAGATCATGGGTTCGATTCTGATCAAGGGCACACACCTCGGTTACAGGCTCCTCCCTGGCCATAGCCCTAGTCAGGGTTCGTGCAAGAGGCAACCAATCAATGTGTTTCTCTCACATCGATATTTCTCTTGGTCTTTCCCTTTCTCTTCTACTCTAAAAATCAATGGAAAAATATTCTCAGGTGAGGATTAAAAAAAAAGAAAATGTGATATGAGAATCTTGCTAGCCATAATACTAAAAATTATTTGTTTCAAGGATATGGGAACCATCTAATCTAATAAAAGAGAAACATGCAAATTGACTGCACCTCCGCTATACCCTAAGCCATGCCAAACAACCAATCAGAGTATATGCAAATTAGCCCAACCAAGATGGCGGCAGGCAGCCATGGAGCTGGAGCGAGCAGAAGGCTTGGTTGCCCCAGCAATGGAGGAAGCCAAGCTTCCCGCCTGTCCTGGCCGGCTATGGCCTTTGCTGAAGGGCACAAAGTTTCAATTATAGAAGCTAAACAAATCCCAGATACCTGCTTCCAGCCAGCCTCCACTGGGAGCTTGGGTGGCTGGGGGGCCTGGACAGCCAGAAAACACCCATCAGCCCCTCACCTAGGCTGGCCAAATCCTCATGGGGTGAGGGTCCCCACTGGGGGGCTTGGCCAGCCAACAAACAGCCATCAGCCCCTTGCCCAGGCTGGCCAGGCACCCCAGTGGGGACCTCCCACCCTGAAGGGGGTGTGACAAGGCTGAAAACAGCCCTCAGACCATCACCCAGGCTGGCCAGGCACCCCAGTGGGGAACCCCATCCTGAAGGGGCTGTGGCAAGCCTGCAAACAGTCCTCAGTCCCTCACCCAGGCTAGCCACACTCCCATGGTGTGAGGGTCCCTGAAGGGGGACTTGGCCAGCCTGCAAACAGCCATCAGTAATAAAAGGGTAATATGCAAGTTGACTATAACAGCAGAATGACTGGGAATGACTGGTCACTATGACACATACTGACCACCAGGGGGCAGACACTCAATGCAGGAGCTGCCCCCTGGTGGTCAGTGCGTTCCCACAGGGGGAGCTTTGCTAAGCCACAAGCCAGGCTGACAGCTGCCAGTACAGCGGTGGTAGTAGGAGCCTCCTCAGAAGCATTAAGGATGTCCGACTGCAGCTTAGGCCTGCTCCCCACTGGCAAGTGGACATCCCTCTAGGGCTCCCAGTCTGCCAGAGGGATGTTTGCATATGGAGAGGGGCCATGGCTCAGAGCGGGGCGGTCTCACGTATGGAGAGGCGGGGGGGTGGCTCAGAGCAGGGTGGCGCTATGTCCGGAGAGACTGGTGCTGAGGCCGGGTGTTCGCCTCCAGATGTGAGCTGCAAGAAAGAAGCGTAAGGTGGAGGAGGTGCAGCTTCAGGCAAGTGAAGGAAAAGGGCAGGTGGCCCAGCCATGATGCCGTTCCTCAGCAGCACTAAAGATGTCCGACTGCAGTTTAGGCCTGCTTCCCGCTGGCAAGTGGACATCCCCGGAGGGTCGGGCTGCCAGAGGGATGTCTGATTGTCATCTTAGACCCAATCCCCTGGGGATCGGGCCTAAGCTAGCAGGTGGTCATCCCCTGAGGGGTCCCAGACTACAAGAGAGCATAGGCCAGGCTGAGGGACTCCCCTCCCCCTCAAGTGCACAGATTTTTATGCACCGGGCCCTAGTATAATAATAATAATGTCCAGGGCCACCTTTGCCCTGCCACCCGGCTCTTGGCTGCCACCTGGGTTTCTGATCATTGTCAGTGGCAGGCGGCTTCTTCCACCCTTCCCCTTTCGCCTCCTAGCATTGCGCCTAACCATCTTTGCTGGCAGTTAATTTGCATATCGCCCTGATTAACCAATGGGAAGCATAGCGAAGGTACAGTCAATTACCATGTTTCTCTATTATTAGTGTAGATACTATATACAGGGTGTGGCAAAAGTAGTTTTAGAGTTGTTCATATGGAAAATAATACAATAATTAATAATAATACAGGAATAAATTGTGTTTCACATACTCACAATTATAAAGGTACTTTTGCCCCACCCTGTATACCGTCTCCATCAGGGCTTTGTGGCAGCATCCTGTAAACAAGCCACTGTGAAATGTGTAAATATTCACAATAAATCAGAGGAATACTACAAATAATTTCATGCCATTTCAGCTCAGATTTGCCAATAAATAGGTTACTTTTTTGTTTGTTTTCTGAGACTTGGGATTAGTAATTACAAATAAGAGTGTGCCCCTGTATAATATGTTTTTCTCTGGAGAAACTCTGATTAGCATTAGGCCAGCTCAATCTATATGTCTAGAGAGAAATGAACTAGGAAATCCACATGAGCAAATGCAAATCAACATCACTACTGAAAGTGCAAGTCCCGGTGATGAGAAGGACATGTTATAAAGTGGGGGTGGGGGACGTCTGGCCTGTGGGCCATGTAAGGCCCACAAAATCATTTGGTCTGGCCTTGCCAAGGCATTAGAGGAGAGTTAGTGAAATGTTTGACCAAATATTGCCAGCTAATTTTTAAGTTGATAATCTTGTCTGGCCCATGAACGATGTTATAAATATCCAAATGACCATTGGCAGAAAAAAGTTTCCCCACCCCTGCTATAAAGTCTGGACAAAGACATCTATGAGGAATTTTTGAGAGCAAAAGTAGCCATAGATTTTTAATTAGCAGTGGTCTTGAGAAAATAAACAATGGTATAGCATCCAATCATTTATTTTGTTTTCTTCACTTGACATTAGAACCTTCCAGCAACAGTCTAAAACTTCCATAGATATATGAAGAAATTGAGGGCTAAGAGTACTATAAATTACCTATTCTATATTAAATAATGTTGGTAACCACTATACCTGTATATCAATGGAAAATTAGATTCATAGCTGTGTGATATGAATTTTATAGAAGAATATAAACTCACTAGAAAAGTGGTTCTCAACCTGTGGGTCACAACCCCTTTGGTGGTCGAATGACCCTTTCACAGGGGTCGCCTAAGACCCTCCTGCATATCAGATATTTACATTATGATTCATAACAGTAGCAACATTACAGTTATGAAGTAGCAATGAAAATAATTTTATGGTTGGGTTATAACATGAACTGTATTTAAAGGGCCAGAAGGTTGAGAACACTGCACTAGAGGCCCAATGCACAAAATTCATGCAAGGGGCTTAGCCCTTGCAGCCCCACCTTTGTCCAGAAGGTCATTCAGCTGTCCGATCTAATTAGCATATTATGCTTTTATTATTATAGATTAAAATGGAAGAATTTTCCATAATATTCACAAACATTATTTTTGTATGAATTATCTAATAATATCCCCTAAATCTATTACCTAATATCACAAACTATAAATAATTGTTCAAATCATTAAGTTAATAGAGCAGTAAAATAATATACAACAAACCAAATTAAATCAAAATTGCACAATGGGTGATAAATAATAAAACAATGGATTTCTCACATCACAGATTATACAAATTATTTTCTTAATATCACATGGGTAATTTATATGGATTAATTATTATGTCAAGAGCTAGTGGAGTCACATGATTAATCTGATATTTTCTTTCATGAAAAAGGTAAACTTTCTCTCTAAGACAAAGGTGAAAAAAAGTGTTTGATCAAAATCTACTGTATGTATTAGTTGAGAGTTATTTTATCTTCTATTCAAAATGCATTCTGATTACATTGATAATTACCAGAGTAAACAGTAGCTTCTACCAACCTTCTTTTGAAGAATTTCCAAGTAATAGGTAATATTGACATTACAATAACATTCACATATCCTTTTGAGTTAAAGATCTCTCCATTTTCACAGATGAAAAACAAAAATACAAAATCCTGGTTACAGCTAACTCATACTATTTTATTTAACACTATTTAATACTGAAATAGTGTTTTCTATGTGCCCAGTACTATTAAAATTGTTTTACAATGTTAACCCAGTTCTCATCACAATTCTATACAGTAGATATTATTGTAGGTTCTATTTTATAAATAATACACTAAAGCACTCAGGGGTCAAATGGCTTGCCCACAGTCACACAGCTAGTAAGTGGTGTAGCCAGGATTAAAATCCATGTGGGCTAGTTCTAGAATCAGTGCTCCTAGCAACTATATTATATTGTAATTTCTCTCTAGGAATCCCAATTTTAAATCTAATGACTACAATTATTATACTTTTTCCCCAGAAATATGAAATATAATCTAGAAAATAGAAAACTATTACACATCCACAAACCTAAACTTTTTTAAAAAATATTTTTTTATTGATTTCAGAGAGGAAGGGAAAGGGAGAAATATAAACATCAACGATGAGAAAGAATCATTGATGAGTTGCCTCTTGCACACACCCTATTGGTGATTGAGCTGCAACCCAGGCATGTGCCCTCATAGGGAATCGAATCGTGATCTCCTGGCTCATAGGTCAACGCTCACGCACTGAGCCACACCAGTTGTACTAAGCTTTTTAACTGAAACAAAAAGAAGCTAAAATGAAACATTTTAAGAAAAAAAAGAGGTTTAGTACGAACTCAAAAAGGCATATGAAATCACATTGGAAGAAACTCTTTGCTTCCCTAAAGCAAATGCTGTGGAATATTTTAAAGCATTACAGGGAAACACTGAATTATTTGCCTTAATATCACCATTAATAGCTCTTGGGAGATCCCATGCTAACTGAACATCAAAGATTATATTTAAATATTCTTTGTAATGAAGTTAAATAATAAAAATTTATTTTTAAAGAATATCGCTATGAAGTAGATTTATAGACTATATCTAAAAAGTCAGTGTCAAAGCAGCAAAAATATGAAAGGTTTATAGCTTTATTTTTATTCTAATTTATTCTTGATGTACAAAAATAACTAACTTGTAGCTAATTTGTACCAAGGAGAAATACCTTATGCTACCCTACTTGCTTCACATACATAACCTAACTCATCTCTGAGGCTACATCTGCACACCAATCCAGCATGTAGACATAAAATAGACATAAAATATCTAATTCTTCCTTGATGTAGAATTGGTCAGTCTGTCATGTATCAGCTTATTGCTGACCAAGGACAATCTCTAGAACACAAAGCATTTCTTCTTTTTTTAAATTTATTTTAGAGAGAGAAAGGAAGGGAGGGAGATAGAAACAATAATTTGTTGTTCCACCAATTCATGCATTCATTGGTTGCTTCTTGTGTGTGCCCTGACCAGAGATCAAACCCGCAACCTTGGTGTATGGGGATGGTGCTCTAACCAACCAAGCACCTGGTCAGGGCAAGAACATGAAGCATTTCAAGACTGGTAGCCTTGAATATTTAAACTACACCACCCTTCTGATATTTTCCTGGAATAAGACCAGAATCCATGATACCACCAGAATAAACTCAGCTTCCTGGTTCGGGAACACAAGGTAAAGTTCATCACAATATTTACCCTGCGTTTTTTGTTTAATTTTTTAAATGTGGTAAAGTATATATAAGATGAAACACTATTTTTACCAAGTATACAATTCAGTGCATTAAGTGCATTCACAATGGTTGTGTAATCATCACTACTATTCAGTTCAGGACTTTTTCATCATCCCAAACAGAAACTGTACCCATTAAACACTAAATCCCCATTTCCTCTTCCTTCCAGGTTCTGGTAACATCTACTCTGCTTTCTGTCTCTATGAATTTGTCTACATACATCATATAGGTAGAATCACATTATATTTGTTCCTTTATGGCTTACCTCACTTAGCATGCTTTCGAGGTTCATCCCGATTGTAGCATGTATCAAAATTCCATTCCTTCTTATATAGGCTGAATAATATTCCATTGTATGTACCTACTATTCATCTATTGATGGGCACTTGGCTTGTTTCACCTTTTGGCTATTATGAATAATGTTGCTATGAATATCTGTTTAAGTCCTTGTTTTCAATTCCTTGAGGTATATACTTAGGAGTAGAATTGCTAGGGCACATGGTAATTCTATATTTAACCTTTTTAGGAATGCGTAATTATTTTCCATAGCTGCCACACCATTGTGAACCAGCAATGCATGAGGGTTCTAACTTCTCAATATCCTCACCAACACTTACTATTTTGCATTTTTTATAATAGCCATCCTAATGGGCATGCATTGTCCTGTAGTTTTAGCTTTGATTTTTGGAGGGAAGTCCTAGTTTCAAGTCCCACCTCTGCCATATACGAGCATTGTGGATTTATATATCAGTCTGTCTGGTTAGTTATGAGTCCAACTCTGAGAAATGGCTTTCACTTGATGTGTCTATTCAATTATTGCTTTACTGAGACGAAGGCTGAAGGCCACTCTCTTCCATAGAGTGGGTGTCATACACTCTTTAAAGATTATTCAGAAATATCCTACAGATCTGTGGTCAAGAAAAACATAGTCATAAACCTTAATTATGTTAGCTCTATTTTCTTCTCTTTTAATTTTACAGATTAAATTAGGCAAATATAGCCCTGACACCAGTGTGGCTCAGTTAGTTGGGCATCATTCTGTGCACTGAAGGGTTGCCAGTTCAATTCCCACTCAGGGCACATACCTGGGTTGTAGGCTCCATCCCTGGAAAGGGGTGTGCAAGAGACAGCCAATTGATATTGCTCTCACATCTCTCTCTCTCTCTCTCTCTCTCTCTCTCTCTCTCTCTCTCTCTCTCTCCCTTCCTCTCTCTCTAAAAATCAATTAAAAAATCACTTAGTTTTTCAAAGTCGTGGTTTACTCTTTTCTATCCTGATAGGATTACAACTTACATATCCTATATAATAAAAGCCTAAGTGCCCAGTCGTCTAATCAGCCGTTCAACCAATCAAAGTGTAATATGTTAATGATATCCTAAGGCCACTCAACCGCTCACTATGATGTGCACTGACCATCAGGGGGAAGACACTCCGACTGGTAGGTTAGCTTGCTACTGGGGTCCCCCCAATCGGGACTGAACAAGATGGGCCAGACATGCCCTGGAGCCCTCCCGCAGTCCCTTCCTGACTGGCCAACCTCTTGCATTCCTCCCCAGCCTCCTCAGCCTGGCCTGTGCCCTCTCACAACCCGGGACCCCTCAGGAGATGTCAGAGAGCCAGTTTCAGACTGAGGGACCCTCTGGTGCATGAATCCGTGTACCGGGTCTCTAGTACTAAAAATAAAGTCATATTCTTCTTTAATTCTAATGGGAACTATAATTGTCTTGTGGTGCAAAAATGTATTTCTTATTTACTCTGTGTGTTTTGCAGCTTAATAACAATATTATTTTTATGCTTTTGGAAACTACCTATTTTAACAGGATAATATTTATAAAAATTCAAGTTTTAAATAGAACTTATCAAATGTATATCCCACTGATTTGTATGCTTTTCTGTTTTTTGTGTGTTATCTGCAGCTTTTATTTATTTTTTTTAAATCTTTAGTGTTGAAAGTATTACATATGTCCCCTTTTACCCCCATTAACCCCCTGCAGCCCAACCCTGTCTCCTACCCCAAGTCCTCACCACCCCACTGTCTGCGTTCATGGGTTATGTATATATGCATATAAGGTCTTTGGTTGATTACCTCCCCACCACCCACCCTCCCCTGTCTTCCCTTTGAGATTCTGCACTCTGTGCCATGCTTCCATGTCTCTAAATCCACTCCATTCATCAGTTTATTTTGTTAATTAGATTCCACATATGAGTGAGATCATGTGATACTTGTATTTCTCTGACTGACTTATTTCACTTAGCATGATACTCTCCAGGTCCCTCCATACTGTCTCAAATGGTTAGAGATCCTTCCTTTTTATTGCTGCATAGTATTCATGGTATAAAATGTACCACAGCATTTTTTTAATATATTTTATTGATTGTTTTACAGAGAGGAAGGGAGAGGGATAGAGAGTTAGAACGATGAGAGAGAAACATCGACCAGCTACCTTCTGCACACTCCCTACTGGGGATGTGCCCGCAACCAAGGTACATGCCCTTGACCGGAATCGAACCCGGGACCCTTGAGTTCACAGGCCAATGCTCTATCCACTGAGCCAAACCAGTTAGGGCTGTACCACAGATTTTTTATCCACCCATCTACTGATGGGCACTTGGTCTGTTTCCAGATCTTGCTATTGTAAATTGTGCTGCTATGAACATAGTGGTGCATATATTCTTTCTGATTGGTGTTTTGGGTTTCTTCAGATATATTCCTAGAAGTCCCACTTATTTTTAATTTTTTTTTGTGATGAAGGGAGTAGTAGAGGCATACTGAACAGTAAAAAGTAAACTAAAAACTAAAGGCATTTCTCAACTGTTAGGCTTACGTTTAAATGGTAAAGTATCCCTATTGGAGGGGGAGTTCATTTTATTAGCATTTTTCATTGTTCTTAGCTTTTGAAAGCAAAACCATGTAAACCAAATAATATCATTTCCATGTAGTTTATTTCTAACCCCTTTAGGTTTGTTTGGTCCTTTAAAGGTAAAGATTGTGCAAATTAAAAGTATTTTGTAGACTAGAGTGTGCATGAATGTTCAGTCTTTAGCTTTTTCCCTAGCCATATAAATAAAAAGACTTTCAATTTCAAACTGCCTTGTGACTTTACTTTGTATAAAACGTATAGAGTCTATGAAACATATACAAGTACCTGGAATTACCCCAGTCAGAGCCAATGCCTGAGAATGATCCTCTTGTCTCCGTTGAATATTTGTAAACCAGAAGCAAGCACTCTTTACATAGTTCAACCAGGCGCTGGCAACACTGGAGCTGCAAAGAAGTCACCACCTCCGGGCTTTTACTGAAAATACTCTCCCAAGAGGATCTGTTGGCATGGAAACAGACATGACCTCATGACGCTGCTAAAAATGGCAACCAGTTATGTCACTTACCTAGCAACAAAGCAATAAGAAACATTAGAAACTCACATGTGTGAAGTGACTGCAGACAGTTGAAAGGTATAAAATACATATATATTTGTAAATTAATCGTGATATTAAAAAACAATATAGAATCCATAGACTTTGTGTTTTTTAAGACTTTATTATTGCCAACAGTGGGTAAGTAAAAGGATGGTTTTCCAACACTACCTAAAAACTTGAGTTACTCTACAAGTCAAGTGTTTGTAAAATACTGAGCTAATTTCTCAAAAATTAGATATTCCAGGAATTTAGGTTTTCTAGGAAGCTATATTTACATATACAGTGGGGCCTTGACTTATGAGTGTCCCAACTAAGGAGTTTTTTGAGATACCAGCTGTCTCTCAGCCGATTTTTTGCATTGAGTTGACAAAGTAATTTGAGTTAATGAGCTCCTTAACAAGCTCCTTAATGAGCACGGTCTCGGAACGAATTAAACTCATAAGTCAAGGCCCCACTGTGTGTGTGTATGTGTGTGTGTGTGTGTGTGTGTGTGTGTGTATTCTAATGACTAGTTGACTGTTCGTTATGATGCACACTGACCACCAGGGGGCAGATGCTCAACACAGGAGCTGCCCCCTGGTGATCGGTGCGCTCCCACAGCAGGAGCGCTGCTCAGCCCGAAGCTGGGCTCACCACTGGCGAGCACAGCTATGAGGTGGCGGTGACAGGCACAGCTGGGCCCGGATGAGCCACAGCAGAGCTGCCCCAGCCCCAGCTGGGGCTTCCCCTAGCCGCCTGCCACTTTGGCACAGCTACATCCCCCGAGAGGTCCCAGACTGCGAGAGGGTGCAGGACAGGCTGAGAGACCCCATCCATGCACAAATCCACACACTAGGCCTCTAGTTAATAATAACCCCACAGAAAGAGTTAAAAAGATATTTGTGACTTCTTTGCAGTCGGAGAATTTAGGTTAATTGCTTAAGTTAATCAAAACACTTTCAGATGTAATTATGTCCATGATATTCCTAGAGTACACTTTCTGTACGTTAGAAGTAATGTTATCCCAACAAGTACTGCCGTACTGCAATTCCAAAGGTAGGGAACTTGCTCCTTTAGCTCACTCAGCTTATACCAAAGCAGGCAGTAGTGAGTGTTCACTTTCTTGGTAAACTTCAAGTGTGTGTGTGTGTGTGTGTGTGTGTGTACTTACAATTTCTAAGTTTACTGCCATGGCCCAAATAAGAATACACCTCATCATTCATCACCCTACCACCACCATCACCACCACCAGGGAGGGAGAAAAAGAGAGAGAACTTTTTTCCTTAGTGTAAATGAAACTCTTTTCAAGCCTCAAGGACAAAGTTCAGTTTGAGACTGGTTAATGGTTCAAGTCTCATTTTACATAAACTACTTCACTTAACCATCTGAGAGAGAACAGAGTAGATTTTCAAAAGGGAAAAATATATTTAAGAAAATATTTTTCTGAAAAAATGTATTTCCCAATGGGAAATTCAGACTCCAATTTCAATCTTCTATGGATATTTGATTATCTTTGGAATTTTAAAAAATGCTTTAGAAACTCAGAAAGGTATTTTTTATTAGAAAGGCTACTGTGTGTTTGTTGCTGTTGTTTTTCAGGAGAAATATGGTCACACAAAAAACAACATGTCATCAGTGAATGGCAGGATTTCTTACAAAGAGTAGATTAGAGGAAATAAGTTTTCTGCCATGTTCTGAGATGTTCCAGACTCAACAATAAGATGCTAATATGCTATTTAAATTAACTCTAAAAATAAAATTTAATTTATTACTAAATATAAGAAAAACTAGATATGTTTATGTATCTTTATATGTATTTACATATATATCCAACTTACCTAATTTGATTTAAAAATATTGGACATCATCATATAATTAGGGAATCATAATAATATAAGGCCAAGAGGCATCATGATCTAAACGACCGGGCACCATGAAGTGCATGGAGCACCTCCCGGTCCCTCCCCTGTGGCCCACAGGCTCCAATCACAGCAAAGCTGGCAGTTGGTGGGCGGGCAGGGTGGCAGGCAGGTGGGGCATGGCAAGGCGGGCACGGTGAGGTGCACGCAGGTGGGCGGGGCCACACGATTGCACTCCCTGGGCCTCTAGTATATTCATAATTAATAAATCAAACTAGCAGGCCCTACATGTCTGAGCCCAGGGAAATAAGAATTTCATGTAAATATAAATACACACAGAAAGTATCCTGTGTTCTCAGTCTGCCTAGCACTTTCCTCTCCATTGGGATTCTGGTTATTTTTACAAAAGTCAACCTCCCCCACCAATGTCCCTGTCCATTTGGATATACTTATATTTTGATTCTTTGGAGCTAGTTGATTAGATTCACTATTAGGTCACTCACATCAGGGTAATTTTTCTCTTCCTGACTTGGAGTATATTCAGGCAAGGTAAGGACAAATAAAATGGAAGAAAGTTAAAAAGAGCTTCTTCTATAACATTCTAATTTGATGTAAGGTTCTGAATAATATGTTAGTTATAATATGAGCAGCTTTAGCTTCTCATTCTCTCATGCTTCCTTAAATATTTAAAATAAACATATGAATCAAGGTCCTTTACCTATTTTTTGGTGTGTATGTTCACCCCCACTGGCCAAAGACACATTCTACTCTATTGTTTATATTTAAGTGTCAGCATGCCCGAACCCCTCATAAAAAAAAAAAGAGAAAATGAACAGACATGCTTCATTTGGTACTAGGCTAATGGTGCCCCTTCTGCACAAAGGAAACCAATCCTTCAAACTGAGACCTCACCTCCTATGCACCACCTGGCAGTGCTGAGGAAATGTGAAATGCTCCTATAACACTGCAGGATCTCAGCTTTCAATGCCAACACAAAGTTTTTAAGAAGGTGAAAGATGTAGAAATAAACAAAAATACCAGTAACACAGGGTTGTATCTACCTGCTTCCTGAATCTAAATTCCAAGGAAATGGGAGACCCAAAATTCATGAGTTTAAAAAGAAAAGTTAAATGGTTAAAAAGTCCTTTCTGGCACACCCTCACCCTCAGAGAAATACGAAATAAAATGACTTTTGTTAGTAATATATCAATAATATACAGAATACTGAATATCTCTGGCAACAAAGGGAGGTTATTAATGAGAGTCAGAGACTTGAAAAAACTTCCTATAATCCAGTAATGCAATAATTTTCATGTCCTTTCTCATCAAAATATTTAATAAAGCAGTTATTTAAAAAGTGAAACTGACTTCTACCTTCTCTGGTAGAAGTTCTGATGGATGGATGAGTGGCCCAAAGTTAAGTACAAGAAGGGAAAAGGGGAGGTAAAAAAAAAAATCTGAGCTATACCAATTAGATAATCAGCAACAGAAAGAGTAATGAGCTAAAAAGTACTACCGACAACACATCGAGATGAAAGTGATAAGAGAATAGTAAGAGTCATATAACTTTAAGAGTCTACATGTTATGGGTACATTTTCAAGTAGTCATATAACTCAGCCTAGAAGTAGACTACCTTAGAATATTCCTTACAATTTTTTCTTGCCTTAAGATGCTAAAAGGGAAGCCTCTCCATGAAAAACTTCCACAGGAAAATGCCTTTGGCTAAAGGATCCAAACCAGATTCTCTTCTTTGGCGTTTACATATCAGGGTTTTGAGAGGAGAGAGAGTTTTTCCAAACAAAGCGTTAACCACACTAGCCCCTGCATCTCCTCTTTGCTCTACCCGGCAAGCTCCTTTCTTCCTCTTCCTGCAAATCTCACCTGAGATGTTACTTCAATTGGCCAGCCTTCCTAAGTGCTCAGGCCTTGTTGGAGTCTCAACAAAACCTAAACTTCCACTATCCCAGTAAAACATGGTGAGCTATTCCAAGAGCTATCTCCTTGGAGAGGACACATGCAGAATGTGGAGCAATATAACATTCCCAGGCAGCTGCATGTGAAAAAAGTCACTAAGCATGGGCTGCGGCAGCCTGCAAGAGCAAGAGTATGTTCTCTCTTTGATGAATCAATAAAACCTCTAGGCCAATTCTAGAGAGACCTCCCACAAAGATCCACCATATTCTTTAATATTTCTGGGTGTAGAAAAGGACTGCTTTATTTATTATTTCATTATTAAGGTGTTGACAGATGGAGGCAGTAATCAAGTTGACGCAGTTATTCGGATTATATTTTTCCAAGATTTTACACCTAACTGTGAAAGATAGCTGCACGCTTTATTAAAATCTTTCCTTCAGAACTGAACTAAGAGTACAGTGTTACCCTGACTAGTAGGCTGTTAGGCCAAAGTTAAAGGAGTATACATTGACTAGATATGATCTAAAGATAAGCAGAACTATTCTGGGTCAAAAATGAAAATCAGACACACGCACCACCACGTGGTTTCATAAAATTGAGGAAGCCTAAGAAACTCATTTGTAAAGCTACAAAATTAAATCTAGTATTAAACTCACCACTATAAACCACCAAGTTTATAAAGAAATGGATTCAAAGCTACTCCCACTCCACCTGCCCTGGTGCTTGGCAACCACTGGCAGTGCTACTTTGAGGGAAGTTAATGAAGCACAGAGTTTAGAACTTGAGTGCTTGACTGAGACAACTTGGATTTTAGTCCAGGATCATCTAGTTACTATGAGAACCTGGGCAAGTTATATATTCTCTTTATGCTTCCATTTCCTTATCTGTACAATAATAATATTTTATTCAAAATATTGCTGTGGTGATTATAAGAATATTTAATATGTAAAACAATATTAGGCATGTAGTAAGCCTTCAATAAATGTTCATCTCATTATCATTACTAGCAGTAATATATGCCGCCAGAGAAAACTGGGAAGAATACTGTGCCTGAAACAAGAGAAAAGCATTCTGAGTTAAGTTAGGGCGTATTACCAAAATAGTTCAGGGAAAAGAAGCTCTAACAGCAAACAACCACCTCTTTATGAGC